ACCTCAAACCTATAGAAAATGTGTGGGCAGAACTGAAAAAGGATATGCGAGCAAGGAGGCCTACAAACCTGACTCAGTTACACCAGCTCTGTCAGGAGAAATATACCCAACTTATTGTCGGAAGCTTGTGGAAGGCTACCCGGAACATTTGACCCAAGTTAAACAATTTAAAGGCAATGCTACCAAATACTAATTGAGTGTATGTATACTTCTGACCCACTGGGAATGTGATGAAATAAATGAAAGCTGAAATAAATAATTCTCTCTACTATTATTCTGACATTTCACATTTTTTAAATAAAGTGGTGATCCTAACTGACCTAAGACAGGGAATTTTCACAAGTAAAAACTGAGTTTAAATGTATTTGGCTAAGGGGTATGTAAACTTCAACTGTATACAAAGCCCCAGAATCTGGAACACCACTAAGCAAGGGGCACCACCAAGCAAGCGACACCATGAAGACCAAGGCACTCTCCAAACAGGTCAGGGACAAAGTTGTGGAGAAGTGCAGATCAGGGTTGGTTTCTAAAAAAATATCAGAAACTTTGACCATCCCACGGAGCACCATTAAATCCATAATTAAAAAATGGAAAGAATATGGCACCAAAACAAACCTGCCAAGAGAGGGCCGCTCACCAAAACTCACGGACCAGGCAAGGAGGCCATTAATCAGAGAGGCAACAAAGAGACCAAAGATAACCCTGAAGGAGCTGCAAAGCTCCACAGCGGAGATTGGAGTATCTGTCCATAGGACCACTTTAAGCTGTACACTCCACAGAGCTGGGCTTTACGGAAGAGTGGCCAGAAAAAAGCCATTGCTTAAAAAAATTAATAAGCAAACACGTTTTTTGTTTGCCAAAAGGCATGTGGGAGACTCCTCAAACATAGGGAAGAAGGTATTCTGGTCAGATGAGACTAAAATTGAGCTTTTTGGCCATCAAGGAAAACGCTATGTCTGGCTCAAACCCAACACCTCTCATCACCCCGAGAACACCATCCCCACAGTGAAGCATGGTGGTGGCAGCATCATGCTGTGGGGATGTTTTTCATTGGCAGGGACTGGGAAACTGGTCAGAATTAAAGGAATGATGGATGGTGCTAAATACAGGGAAATTCTTGAGGGAAACCTGTTTCACTCTTCCAGAGATTTGAGACTGGGACGGAGGTTCACCTTCCAGCAAGACAATGACCCTAAGCATACTGCTAAAGCAACACTCTAGTTGTTGAAGGGGAACATTTTAAATGTATTGGAATGGCCTAGTCAAAGCCCTCAATCCAATTGAGAATCTGTGGTATGACTTAAAGATTGCTGTACACCAGCGGAACCCATCCAACTTGAAGGAGCTGGAGCAGTTTTGCCTTGAAGAATGGGCAAAAATCCCAGTGGCTAGATGTGCCAAGCTTATAGAGACATACCCCAAGAGACTTGCAACTGTAATTGCTGCAAAAGGTGGCTCTACAAAGTATTGACTTTGTTTCACAATAAAAAATATTTTGTGTCTTCAAAGTGGTAGGCATGTTGTGTAAATCAAATGATACAAACCCCCAAAAATCAATTTTAGTTCCAGGTTGTAAGGCAACAAAATAGGAAAAAGGGGGTGAATACTTTCGCAAGCCACTGTATAAAGAACATGTACAGTACATAGAAGCTAATTACAAAGGGCATGGGGTGTCAAATTTGATTCTTTATTTAATGAGCTTAGGTACTGCCATGTTTGCCAGCCTGGACTGCCTCCTTGTGTCACGCCCTGGCTCTGGGGACTCTTTTATGTTGAGCCAGTGTGTTAGTTTCTATGTTTAGTTTTCTATGTTTATGTTCTAGATCGTGTGGATCTATGTTGGCCAGGGTGGTTCCCAATCAGAGGCAGCTGATTCTCGTTGTCTCTGATTGGGAACCATACTTAGGCAGCCTGTTTGGCAGAGTTAATTGTGGGATCTTGTTTCTGTATAGGTTTGTGTTTGTGAACCTGTAGACTTCACGTATCGTTTGTTGTTTTGTTAATTATATAAAGTACACATTAAAAGATGTACGCATATCACGCTGCGCCTTGGTCCGCTGTTTATGACGATCGTGACAGAAGATCCCACCAAAGAAGGACCAAGCAGCGTGTTCAGGAGCAAACACCGGGAAAGGAACAGGAGAAGTTGGCGATGTCCCAGGTGGGCGAATGGTGGTCTTGGGAGGACATGTTCGCGGGCAAAGGGCCATGGGCAAAAGTTAAAGCCCTGGCGAGAGAGGAGGTACGGCGCCAACCGTGCTGTCGTCGGACAGGCGAGAGGCAACCCCAATAAAAATGTTTTGGGGGGGCACACGGCATGGACGACGGGGCTGCTGGAGGCAGCTACAGGGCGAGTTTGTGGACTAGGAGAGGAGTCCACCAGGTTACGTGGGCCATTGGTCATGAGGGTGAAGGAGGGTGTAGAGGCACGGCGAGAGGTACTGGGGTGTGTTACCAGTCCGGTCCGGCCCGTTCCTGATCCCCGCACAAGGCCAGTGGTGTATGTTCCCAGTACGGTCCGGCCTGTTCCTGTCCCTCGCACCAAGCCTGTGGTGCGCGTCGCCAGCCCGGTCTGGCCTGTTCCTGCTCCCCGCACCAAGCCTGTGGTGCGCGTCGCCAGCCCGGTCCGGCCTGTTCCTGCCCCTCGCACCAAGCCTGTGGTGCGCGTCGCCAGCCCGGTCCGGCCTGTTCCTGCTCCCCGCACCAAGCCTGTGGTGCGCGTCGCCAGCCCGGTCCGGCCTGTTCCTGCTCCCCGCACCAGGCCATGGGGTGCGCGTCACCAGTCCGGCCCGGCCTGTCCCTGTCCCTCGCACCAAGCCAGTGGTGCGCGTCGCCAGCCCGGCCCGGCCTGTTCCTGCTCCCTGCACCAAGCCTGTGGTGCGCGTCGCCATCCCGGCCCGGCCCGTTCCTGCTCCCCGCACCAAGCCAGTGGTGTGCGTCATCAGCCCGGTCCGGCCCGTTCCTGCTCACCGCACCAAGCCAATGGTGCGCGTCATCAGCCCGGTCCGGCCTGTTCCTGCTCCCCGCACCAAGCCAATGGTGCGCGTCATCAGCCCGGTCCGGCCCGTTCCTGCTCCCCGCACCAAGCCAATGGTGCGCGTCGCCAGCCCGGCCCGGCCCGTTCCTGCTCCCCGCACCAAGCCAGGGGTGCGCGTCACCAGTCCGGCCCGGCCCGTTCCTGCTCCCCGCACCAAGCCAGTGGTGCGCGTCGTCAGCCCGGTCCGGCCCGTACCTGCTCCCCGCACCAAGCCAGTGGTGCGCGTCGTCAGCCCGTTCCGGCCCGTTCCTGCTCCCCGCACCAAGCCAGTGGTGCGCGTCGTCAGCCCGTCCGGCCCGTACCCGCTCCCCGCACCAAGCCAGTGGTGCGCGTCGTCAGTCCGGCACGGTCCGTGCCTGTTCCACCTGTGCCTGGTCCGGCACCGGTCAGCTGCTCCACGCCGGAGCCAGAGCAATCCGCTCCACCGGTGTTCAGTCCAGCTCCGGTCAGCAGGGCCAGACCACGAGGGCGAGAGAGAGAGGGGTGGTCACGCCCGGAGCCGGTTCCGCCTCCGAAGGGGAATGCCCACCCTGCCCCTCCCCTGTGGTGTTTGGTTGGAGCGGTCGCAGTCCGCGCCTTTGGGGGTGGGTACTGTCACGCCCTGGCTCTGGTGACTCTTTAATGTTGAGCCAGGGTGTTAGTTTCTATGTTTAGTTTTCTTAGGTTTATGTTCTAGATCGTGTGGATCTATGTTGGCCAGGGTGGTTCCCAATCAGAGGCAGCTGATTCTCGTTTTCTCTGATTGGGAACCATACTTAGGCAGCCTGTTTGGCACAGTTAATTGTGGGATCTTGTTTCTGTATAGGTTTGTGTTTGTGAACCTGTAGACTTCACGTATCGTTTGTTGTTTTGTTATTTGTATAAAGTACACATTAAAAGATGTACGCATATCACGCTGCGCCTTGGTCCGCTGTTTATGACGATCGTGACACCTTGCCTTGGTCATGACCTCTTCGAGGGCATTGTCTCTTTTGACCTTGCACTGTTCATTAATCATTTGGTCAGTCAAGAGAAACATTTAGCATATTTAGAATTGAACAAATGCATCAGCTAATTTAAATAGCTTGGGAGTGATGTTAATAACAAACCTCCTGAGATAAGCCCTGGCAGTGAGAAGCTAAGTAGACATGCTGTACAAAACTAGTGTCTGTTGAGAGTACTCCCCCTCTTAGTAGGAGATCGGATCAAACATCCACCAGATAGTGGTGTATGGCAGTTGATTTTGATGGTAAGAAAAATTGTCTGATATATATGTACATCAGGCATTGCTGCTTACCAGGTGGCATATCTTCAAGTCCTTATTGATGAATATATCAATTTCTGAACTGAGAATTTTCCTGAAAAACCCCTCAAGCCAAAGCACCATTATCTCTGCCATTACCCCGAGCTTATCGTTAGGTTCGGGCCACTTATTTGTCCCTGGACATTGCGGTTTGAAAGTAAGCACACTCACTTCAAGCAGTGTGCATGGAAATCGCACAACTTTAAGAATCTATGTGAGACTCTAGCAGAGAGACACCAACTGTTCCAAGCCTATTTAAGTGCTGGCAGTTTATTTCCACCTCTCATTCAGGTAGAAAAGGGAACTTACTTTTATGCCAGTGATTACAACAAGAAGATTGAGGATTCAGTTGCTGCATTTCATTTAAAATCTGACAACACAGATGTTTCAAATGATATCACTGTCAAAGGCACAAAGTACAGAAAGGGAATGTATGTTTTGATGGGGAAAGATGAGGATGGATTGCAAATGGGTGAGATTAAGTTGATCCTGGTCCATTGCTACTCTTCTGTTTATTGTGTTTTAGAGAGGCAGCAGGCTAGTTGATTTAGGTATGCACTGCCTAACAGGAGTAGCCCAGGACTCAAACTTGATCTGCATTAAGCATGAAGACCTTAGTAGAGTACAAGGTATTTGGCAAATCAATGATGAGCCTTCATCATTCTTTCCCTTTGTTGTAGAGCCACCACAGCGCTAGGACAGGAGATAAGAGAGGCAGTATTGTCAGTGCTACCAGATTTGCCTGAGCAGACACTTTCATCCCTCCTGGACAAGCTAGCAAGTGTGGGAGTAGAGGGAAAGCCTTGAGTTGAGCAACAATTTTACTTCCAGGACAAGCAAGGAGTGACACAGCTGGTGCAATCAAGGATACATCAACATTTGAGCCATCAAGCCCCTCCCCTTCACAGTCATCCTCCACATACATCACAACCTGTTCAACAACCAGTACGACCAGTACTGTAGACCTGGACATCTGGCTGGAGAACTTCATTGTCACTTGGGGCAAAACGTCCATGAACCTGAGATCAGCCATCGCCAGAGGCACATGGCGAACCCCGGGAGAACGAAGAGAGATGGTGAGAATTACAGTAGATGCAATGAGAGTTACTGAGCCTAATCTGACCAGAGCAGATTGCCGTGCAATAGCCAAGAGGATGGTACAACGGTACCCTTCTTCTTTTGCCACATTCTACACCTTCAATCAAGAGGAGGCTTCACGCACCCTGGAGTTCTTCCAAAGGTAAACAAAAATATGCTTCTTCCTTGGGAGAATTCCATTGGGGGGGCTTTAAACTGAGGCATTTTGTATCACAGCTTGGTTTTCCAGGTTAATTGAATCAAGATATGTTGATAAGTTTGAAAGGCTCCTTTGTCAGAGCAGAAACACATAATGCGAAGCCATTATTTGAACTGGGGACAATGTACAGAGGTAATGCAGCACACTTCAGACACTATTGAAGACATCAGGGGACCTAATCGTCTTTCAAAAATGTTGTCTGGATGTGCTCTTTGTTTTCACAGATGTTTTGCTGGAACCAATCCATCCAATGGCTCGAAGACCGCCACAGCAGAAGTCGTCAGCAAGAAAAGCGGATAAGGTAGTGGAGAAGAAAAGACACACAATTAATGTACATGTCTGTACTCTGCTCAGGAAGATAATGGACTTTGAACAGCTCTGGGCTAGTTCCTCTTGGGCATACATTTCATTTATATACCTGCACAAGTAAGTTTGGTTTGTCACTGGGGTTTACTCTTTTGTTTTGTGTTTTAGACCTTAAGTGTTTGAAAATTATCTTGTATGCACTGAAATTGACACATTGTTGAGGAAGTAATGCTACTTTGGATGTTTGGAAATGTCTGGCATTTACTCAAAACTTGAGTAGGCAACCCTTATTAATGCTTGAGTATGTAGTTTTGGGAAGGGCATAATTAGAAATCTGGGAATAGAACAAAATATCCATTGTGATATTTTCTAACCATAATATCACATAATTAAAAAGTCCAATTACCCTTCCCAAAACGACATACTCTGCGTTTAATGACAAACCTCCTAAGATAAGGCCAGGCAGACATGTTGCACAAATCTCTGTTGAGAGTAGGCCTACTACCCCTCTTAGTAGGAAACAAGATACATTTTTTCTTTATTTGAGCTCAAAGCAAGGCAGTGCGATTTTTGAGTTACCTGTGTCTGAAAGGTTATTTTTAGTTCAAAAGCTAAGATACATACAGTATACCAGTGCCTTTCTTATCTGTAATTCTGTCACTTTCTATGCTGGAACAGTTATAAACATGCACCTTATTCAGGACATTGATCTATTTTGAAGATTGATACATTTGAAACCTTTTTGATGAAAACATTTGGCTTTGCATCTGAATGCAGAATAGCCTTGTGACAAACTATCATAATTTTTTATGTCACATACAAGCTAGAATATCATTAAACATAATTTTGCGTAATTTTTCAATTTGTAAAGGAAGATGCTTCTCAGTTTTGTAGATGGGGTGGTTGCATCCATCCTAACTAATGCTATAATGGAAACCCTTTATTTTTTGAAGTTATGTCATACCAATACTGTTAAGATTAACAATTGTATTCTGTCCTGATGAATAATTTTCAGATTTACACTTAGCTGCAAGGGGAAAGGTGTAGGTTTGTAATTGAGGCGTTTGTGATGCAGCCCATTTCGCTACAGTTCATTGGCTTTTCCCACCGAGCAATGGTGAAGTTCTACTTTGGGAGCTTATTGAATGTGTTTATTGTCACTTTTTGGTTTGTTTACATTAAACCACGTTTAAGAAATAATTATTTGTATTGCGTTTACTTGTTTTGGTAATGCAAATGTTTTAGAAGTTTACAGCGCTATTGGCATATTCTATCTGTAAATGTCATATGTTACTCTAAAAGCACATACAGATAACTGTAGTTTTACAGCAAAAAGACTGTAAAATAAATTACAGTAATTTAATGGCAATTCGAGTTGCACAATAATATATTGTAATTAGAATGGTGTACAGGTACTGTAAAAATACAGCAAATTGATGTTATTTATAAACAGTAAGTTATTGTAGTACATCTACAGCAACATGTTTTAATTCTAATTTACAGTACATCACTGTTGTTTTACAGTACTTTTACTGGCAAATCTTTTGCCATTAATTTACTGTAATTTCTACAGTCAATTTTTTACAGTGTACCTCAGCTGGAGATAGATGGAGGGAAGGCGGTAGGGAGGAAGACAGAGGGGGAGGGAGGGAGGGGAGGGAGGGAAGGATGGAGAGAGGCAAGGAGGGAGTGCATGAGGGAGGGAGAGAGGGGAGAGGATGGAGAGATAATGCGTTAGAGCAAAAAATATATATTGAGGGAGAGACAACAGGGACAGGATCAAGTGGAAAGTTAGCGAGAGATCAAGAATGGTAGAAAGCATTGATTAAAAAAGTGTGAGAGAGAATGGGAATTACGGTTATGAAGAAGCTTGAACATTTTGACGTTTGAAATATTGGCCATAAGACTTCGCCATTGGGGTAAGAACAGACAGGCCACAACATTTTCGAACGTTCAGAAATAAATATTTGATGTAGATAAAATGTGCCTCCCCGACAGATAGAATAAGGAATTGTCTGCTTTAGTCATGACATTTCTATCAGCAATGTTCAACATTTGGCAACTGAATGAGGACCAGGTGTCTGCTTGTCTGACTATTTGCACATGAATAGCCCACGAGATCACACACACCACCCTGTTCACCCTTGGACTGTACCTCACCTCTCTGAGGCTCCCATCTCTTTTATGATGGAGAGAAAGAGCAATAGACAGTGAGAGACAGACATGAAAATATGTTTGCATCCCAAATGGCACCCTCTTCCCTATTCAATCAATTTTATTTTATATAGCCCTTCTTACATCAGCTAATATCTCGAAGTGCTGTACAGAAACCCAGCCTAAAACCCCAAACAGCTAGTAATGCAGGTGTAGAAGCACGGTGGCTAGGAAAAACTCCCTAGAAAGGCCAAAACCTAGGAAGAAACCTAGAGAGGAACCAGGCTATGAGGGGTGGCCAGTCCTCTTCTGGCTGTGCCGGGTGGAGATTATAACAGAACCATGCCAAGATGTTCAAAAATGTTCATAAGTGACAAGCATGGTCAAATAATAATCAGGAATAAATCTCAGTTGGCTTTTCATAGCCGATCATTAAGAGTTGAAAACAGCAGGTCTGGGACAGGTAGGGATTCCATAACCGCAGGCAGAACAGTTGAAACTGGAATAGCAGCAAGGCCAGGCGGACTGGGGACAGCAAGGAGTCACCACGGCCGGTAGTCCCGACGTATGGTCCTAGGGCTCAGGTCTCTCAGTTGGCTTTTCATAGCCGATCATTAAGAGTTGAAAACAGCAGGTCTGGGACAGGTAGGGGTTTCGTAACCGCAGGCAGAACAGTTGAAACTGGAATAGCAGCAAGGCCAGGCGGACTGGGGACAGCAAGGTGTCAGCATGCCCGGTAGTCCTGACGTATGGTCCTAGGGCTCAGGTTCTCAGAGAGAAAGAGAGAACGAGAGAATATTCTCACCCTATTCCCTATCAGCCCTGGTCAAAAGTAGTGCACTATGTAGGGAATAGGGTGCCATTTTGGATGCAGAGAGAGTGTGTGTCAGTAATGCTGTAGGTGGGTGTAGTGGTGGAATCAAGCGCGGGACACCGAAGTATAGTCCAAAAGACTTTAGTGAAATTTCCAACAAGGAAAAATAGAACAAACTTGCCCGAAGGCGAAACTACGCACGTCGGCGACAAAACAAAAGGCGCACTACACAGGTGCGTAAAACGCTCTAACACAGTGGAGTAAAGCTCAACCGAGCGAATAAGTAATTCCTACAAGCAAACACACGACATAAATAAATCAATCACACACAACACTAGACAAACACAACGAGAAACTTATAGGACACTAATTACACTAAACGATAACAGGTGTCACAACAAACAGACAAAAGCAAACGAACATAGAAACATGCAACGGTGGCAGCTAGTATTCCGGAGACAACGAACGCCGAAGCCTGCCCGAACAAGGAAGAGAGGCAGCCTCGGCCGAAACCGTGACAGTACCCCCCCCTTGACGCGCGGCTCCAGACGTGCGCCGACTCCGGCCTCGGGGACGACCAGGAGGACGCGGAGCAGGGTGCGTCGGGTGCCCACGATGGAATTCCGTCAGGAGAGACGGGTCCAAAATGTCTCTCCTCGGCACCCAGCACCGTTCCTCCGGACCGTACCCCTCCCACTCCACTAGATATTGGAGACCCCCCATCCGACGTCTCGAATCAAAGATGGACCTCACGGAGTACGCCGGTGCCCCCTCGATGTCCAATGGGGGCGGAGGACAGAGTCCCCCCCCCCTGATCTTTTTCAACGTTATTGGGAAAGTTTTGGGCCCCAAAGCCCTACACAGGCCGAG